GTCCGGTGCGACCCTGCCGCTGCCGCTGCCCCCCGCTTCCCTCGCGACGCCTCCCTCGTAGCCGCCGCACGTGATGTGCATCGGACCACCCCCGCCCCACCCTCCACCCTCGGGATGCCTGTAGGGGGCCTCTTGCGCATCAACCACCAGCTCGCCTCCCAGCCGAGAGACGGGTCCGACGCCGCGAACGCGCTGAGGGCCTTGTCGACCACGCCGTCGCACGGCGCCGCCAGCGCCGCGATGCCAGCCCCTGCGGCGGTGCCGGCGCCGGTCGAGCGCAAGCGGAGCCACGAGGGCGGGATGTCGAAAAAGCAGCTCCAGCGGCGGCTCGCCGACGACGGCGCGGCGATCCCTGTCGACCGCTCATCGAGCCATGGCTCCTCCTCAGGGTGACGAGACGCGGTGTTGGGCCGAGGGCGGAGGCCCTCGAGTGGTGGAGGCCCTCCTCCTGAGGCCCTCGCTAGCCTGCGCACGGGCCACGGCCAGGACCCACAACGCACAAGAACGGCATGTGTTCAAACTCACAATGTGCGTTGACTGTGTTATATGTGGGGCAGCACACAGGTCTCCGGCTGATCTTGTGTTCGCGTACGTACACCATTTTTTGAGTATTGAGCCGTTCGTTCTTAACGTCTCTATAGTCGCGTAGATCGCGTTTTTCGCGGCCGAACGAACGCGGCGCGCGGCTGCGTGCATCGCGTTCGCGACGCGCCCGGACCCCGGACCGCTCCTTCTCGGCCCAGGGTGGTGCGGGGAGGCGCCCCGCCCCCCGCGGCCGCGAGACTGGCCGGGGACCGGGTGACCTCGACGTCCTCATCGCTCAACCTTGTCCTTGATCTTCGAGCAGCAACCGCTCGAGCAGCGCATAGTCCCTCGCGTACACCTCGCGCACCAGCGAGCGGAGCTCAGCGGACTGCTCCCACGCCGCCCGGGCCTCCGCCTCCCGGCTCGCGTCCTGTCCCGACTGCGGCGGGATCGCCCTCCGGTGATGGCCGAGGCGTGGCTGTGCGTGGCGGGCAAGCCGCGGCTCGGCCCGGAGGAGGCGGCCGTACTCCGCCTCGAGCGCCTCGAAGCGCCCCACAAAGTGGAGGGCGCCGGCCGCGCCGTCAGCGGGCAGGAAGCAAGCCTGCGGCCGAAAGTGGATCGGGACGCGCGCCCAGTGCCCCTCGAGGCGCTGCAGGTGGAGCAGGAAGAGCAGCGGGTCGGCGCCAAAGTCGCGACGGAGCATCTCCGCCTAAGT